TACCGTGTTGTTTTTATGGGCATTGCTCTGTGATACAGTTTAAAATCTGGTATAGTAATTCCCCCAGCATTGCTCTTAGTGCTCAGGTTTGCTTTGGCTATCAAGGCCTTTTTTGCTTCCATATGAATCTTAAGATTGTTTTTTCCAATTCTGTGAAGAATGTCATGGGGATTTTTATTGGCATTTCATTGAATCTCTAAATCATTTTTGGTAGGATGGTCATTTTCACAATATTAATTCTTCCAATCCACAGCATGGGAGGTCCATTCATCTTCTGATGTCTTCCTCAATCTCTTTCTTTAAAAATTTACAATTTTTATTGTAGAGGTCTTTAATATCTTTGGTCAGGTTTATTCTGAGATTTTTTTTTTTGCAGGTACTGTGAAAGGGAGTGTTTCCATGTACTCTTTCTCTGATTGCTTGTTATTGGTATATAGAAAGGACATAGACTTTTGTAGATTAATTTTGTAACCTGCCACTTTACTGAACCGTGTTAATAATTTCTAGGAGTTTTCTGGTGAAATTTTTGCTGTCTCTTAGATATAATATATCATCTACCAAAAGGGATAATTTGATCTCTTCTTTTCTAATTATTACTCCTTTAATTTTCTTATCGCTCTTGCGAGAGTTTCAAGCACTATGTTAAAAAAGGAGTGGAGATACTGAACCACCTTGCCTGGTTCCTGATTTTAATAGGAATGCTTACAGTTTTTCTCCATTTAGAATGATGATGGCTGTGGGTTTGTTGTACATGGCTTTAATTATGTTGAGGTATGTTCCCTCCAGTCCAATTCCCTCTAGAACTTTGAACATAAATGCATGTTGAGTTTTGTCAAAGGCCTTCTCTGCATCTATTGATATGACCATGTGGTCCTTGTCTTTGAGTCCATTTATATGATTTATGACATTTATTGAGTTGCATATATTGAACCATCCCTGCATCTCTGGAATAAAACTGACTTGATCAAGGTGGATGATCTTTTTTGATGTGTGTCTGTCTGCAGTTTGCAAGGATTTTGTTTAGAATTTTTGCATCTATGTTCATTAAGGATATGGGTCTGTAGTTTTCTTTTTTGGTTGTATCTTTACCTGGATTTAGTATCAGCGTGGTACTGGCTTCATAGAAGGAATCTGGAAGGTCTCCATCCATTTCTATATTTTTAAATAAATTAAGTAGTATTGGATTTAGATCTTCGTTAAATGTCTGGTAGAATTCTGCTGTAAATCCATTTGGTCCTGGGCTTTTTTAAGACAGGAAGTTTTGCATCACTGTTTCAATTTCTTTATGTGTTATAGGTCTGTTTAAAGCCATCTTTTAATTGGGTTACTTCCTTTCTTGATTCTTTTTTTTTTGACTTTGTTATATATTCTGGATGTTAAACCTGTCAGATATGTTGCTGTTGAAGATTTTTTTCCCAGTCAATGGGTTTTCTTATCACTTCCTTGGTTGTTACTTTTAATATACAGAAGCTTTTTAGTTTAATGAGGTCCCATTTGTTGGTTCTTGACCTTGTTTCCTGAGCAATTGATGTCTGGTTTAGAAAATACTTTCCTATGCCTTGGATTCTTCTTGGTTTAGTTTTGGTGGTTCCCATGCTTTTAGTTACTTGTCTATTTCTTTTAGGTTTTCAAATTTGGTAGTGTATAGGTTTTTAAAGTATTCCCTTATAATGTTTGAGATCTTTTTGGTGTCTGTTGTGATGTTTCCCCTTTCATCTCTGATTTTGTTGATTTGGAGGTGCTTTTTCTTTCTTTTGGTTAACTGGGCCAGTGGTCTGTCAATCTTCTTTACCTTTTCAAAGAACCAGCTCTTGGATTTGTTGATTCTTTGTATTGTTTGCTTTGTTTCTATTTCATTAATTTCTGCTCTTACTTTTCTTATTTCTTCTTGTCTGTTGGGTTTGGGTTTCATTTGTTGTTACTTTTCAAGTTTCTTGAGTTGCAATGTTAAGTCATTTATTTGTGTTCTTGACAAATTTTTAATGTAGGCACTTAGTGCTCCAAACTTCCCTCTAAGGACTGCTTTCAACATGTCCCAGAGGTTTTGTTGTGTTGTATTATCCTTTTCATTTAGTTCCAGGAATACTTTTATTTATTTCTTAATTTATCCTTTGAATCTGTTGTTTAATCTCCATGTGTTCATGTAGTTACTAGGGTTTCTTCCAGTGTTGATTTTAAGCTTTAATGCATTGTGATCTGATAGAATGCATGGAATTATTTCAATCTTTTTGTATTTGTTGAGGTTTATTTTGTGTCCTATTATGTGATCAATTTTTGAAAAAGTTCTATGGGGCACTGAACAGAAAGTATATTCTTTGGCGCTTGGGTAGAATATTCCATAGATGTCTGTTAGGCCCATTTGATGTATGGTATTGTTTAATTCAGATGTCTCTCTGTTAATTCTCTGTCCTGTTGACTTATCTAATGGAGACAATGGGGTATTGAAATCCCCTAGTATTGAGTTGGGATTAATTTGGGTCTTAAAGTCCTGTAGTACTGTTTTTATGAAGTTGGGTGCACCAGAGTTTTGTGACTATATGTTCATGAGTGTAATATCTTCTTGGTCATTTGTTCCTTTGATCAGAATTAAGTGGCCCTCTTTATCTCTACTGATTATTTTTAGTTTAAATAAAGTCTATTTTGTCATATATTAGAATTTCAATGCCTGCTTTTTTCTTAGTACAATTCACTTGGTATATTTTTTTCCTTCCTTTCACCTTAAAGTAGTGCCTGATCTTGAAAGTAAGATGAGTTTCTTGCAGACAACAAAACGATGGGTTTGTTTCTTAATCCGTTCAACTAGTCTGTGTCTTTTGACTGGGGAGTTCAGTCCATTGATATTTAAAGTTATTAATGAGAGATGAGTATTGATTCCTGTCCTTTTAATTTCTGTTTGCATTCTTGGTGTAGCTCTTCATTTCCATAGTTATACCTTCCTTAAGTTTCTGTCTGTTACCCCTTGGGTATAGTTGTTCTGTTCTTCAGCTCTTTGTATTGCTTCAAGAACTCTCTGAGGGACTGGATTTGTGGACATGAATTCTATTATCCTATTTAAGTCATGGAAGATTTTTCTTTCCCCTTCAACTATAATAGACATTTTGGCTGGGTAATCTGCATTGGTATCTGTGGTTATTTAGAACTGGGAATACTTTGGTCCAGGCTCTTCTGGCTTTCATAGTTTAGACTGAAAAGTCAGATGTAATTCTGATGGGTTTTCCTTTATAAGTGACTTGCTGTTTTTCTTTTGCAGCTTTCTGTATTCTCTCTTTGTTCCATATGGTTAGTGTTTTTACTGTGATGTGCGTGGAGAGTTTCTTTTCTGGTCCTGTCTATTTGCTGTTCTATATGCTTCTTATATTTGTATGGGCATGTCTGCTTTAGTGTTGTGAAATTTTCTTCTACCATCCGGTTGAAATGGAGATCTTTCTTAAAGGCTAAAACTTCATTCAATTCTATGTCTTATAAGGTTGATACTGAGTTCAATATTGTGTAACTGTATTAAGTCAAGTGTGAACCTAAAAATTTACAGCCAATTTTGAAAGAGCTATATCATTGCTCTGGAAATTGTTATTGAATATGTTAATGCTGGAATGAAATGCTTCTGTTAAAAAGAGTGTAGAAGTAGGTAAAAAGCCCCAAACTTAACTGAGAACCTATTGGCAGCCCCTAACTATTGGGAGAGAGAGAGTTGGTTTTAAGAGTGTGATGCCAGATAGGTTAACCAGTGGATGAAAACAAACCAAAGGATATCTGGGGACACAAATGTGGATCAACAGGCCTTAATATATATGACAGAGTACATGAACACCTGCAAGGGTGTGTAAAACAGTGCAAATAAAGGACGGAATAATGGAGTATTAGGCTTCCCCTAGGGTCTATTTCATAGTCAGCCATGGATTTGAAGCCAAGTTAATGGTATCAATTATGGGTTCCATTGTGTGGAGTAGATGCTGAATCCAAACAGAAAGTGGCTGATGACTCCCATAACTTTCATGCCACTATTGCACCAGTGGGCGTGTCTTTCTAGGCTGGGTCTTATTGTAGCTTCCAGGGTTCACAGCTGGGTAAGACTACTGATGACTTTTCTCTCCCAACAGCATGCAGAAAACCTTCCAACCCTGTGAAAGCCAACCAGTAGGAATGGGGCTTCTAAGTTGCTGCCAGATTGATGTCTCCATGTCCTATGACTCATGTATGTGATGTCTTCAAAAATGGGGTCTTACCATCAAGTTCTGTAAGACATCCAAGAGCACTGGCAATAGTCTGTGGAATTTGTGTGGCAAGTACGTGGGATTCCACTGACTAAAGCTGAAAAAGAAGTAACATATACCTGTCACAGGTCTTTTTATATGAAAGCCCATGGTGTCTGGGAGAGGCATTGCCAACTCATTATAGGGTAACTCCACTAAATCTATTTAAGGGTATATATTTAGAGAGATTCTATAGTAATGTTTCCAAGGGTATTTTCAAATGTCTTGACTTTACTCCCTCCATCCTCTCTTTCTCTCTCTCTCTCCCTCTATCTATTCCCATCTCTAGCTCTCTATTTATCCAAAACAAAAGGATAAACTAAGGAGTAATCCTAGTGGTTCAAGACATTCAAAAACAGCATTGTCATCCTCCTTGACAAAAGGTAAAATTGAGGCTCTAAATGGTTCCCAATGAAGAAAAGACGCCTGAAAGTTGAACCCGGATATTCCCTAAATCCTTAACTCAACAACCTTGAAAAGATGTTCGATTTCCTCACAGATGCCACAAAGAACAGGAAAATGGGGAAGAAGTAAGAAATTTGAATTTGAAGAACAGAGATAATCCCATCCCATTTTCCTGGGTTAACTCAATACACCTATGTGCAGGTGGGAGATTATAGTTTATATAACTCCACATGCATCAAGATCTTTGTCTTCTGATGGCATCATGCCCAGAAAATTTGACTCTCAGGATGTTCAGATTTCAGGATAAGCTGATTTCCTAGAAGCTATTTAGGCAGGACTTGGAACCCAGGACACAAACCCTCAACTTGCAGCCATGGAGGTCGGAGGGGTCTTCACCATCTTCCTAGGGCTCTGCTTGTCCTGTTTGCTGATCCTGATAGCCTGGAAACGAAGGAACAAGGGAGGAAAGCTGCCCCCTGGCCCCACACCCTTACCTTTCGTGGGGAACCTGTGGCAAGTCCGCATTGATGCAACATTTCAGTCTTTAATGAAGGTGAGCTATCCCCTCTCATAAGGATGAGGGCAACAAATCCCATAGTCAGGTATGCACAAAATCAGAACTTCTAAACACGAATTGAGAAACAGTGTCTAAGGACCATGGAATTCAGAAATTGCAGAAACTTAAAACAGAGAAAAAGTATCTTAGAAACACAAATTCTCAGTGCATTGGAACAGATCTCTCTTCCTCTCAAAACTCAGGAATCACAACCTAGGAGCTTCTGGAATTTCATTTCTTTAAACACAATGATCATACTGATTGTTCCAGAACTTTGAGACTGTCACAAAATCTTAAGGTGCTCAAAAATATAGTTTCAAAAAGAGAAGCTGTAGATCTCAGTTCATCTATTCTGGGTCCATTACTTTGCAAATAAGACTTGCAAGGCTAGGGTTCACTATTGACCAGGATCACAGGAGTCAAATTTTAATGCTTTCTACAAGAAGGCCTTCTAAGATCAGAAGAACCTGTATCTATCATTCTGAACTTAGTTCCCTCCTGAATTCTCTACTCTCTACAGTCTGTGACTGGTCTCTGTCCTCCAACCTACTACCCCCTCCAATAACTTCCTTCACTCCCAGCTCCAGAAAAAATATGGCTCTGTGTTCACTGTGTACTTGGGTCCACGACCAGTGGTTGTCTTATGCGGACATGAGGCTGTGAAGGAGGCACTGGTAGACCAAGCAGATGACTTCAGTGGCCGTGGAGAAATGCCTACATTAGAGCGAAACTTTCAAGGTCACGGTAAGTAACGGCAACAACAGAAGTGATTACAATGTACTCTGTGTGTTGTATGTTCTCGTAAGCATTCTACTGGAAGCCCTCCATTGGCTCCCTTGAGAAAAATGTTGATACACTAATTTCACAAGTGAAAATACCTGATAGGAAAAACCATTAGGTAATATTACACAGCAAGCAGGAGTGCTGCTTTTGAACTCCAGAAATCTGACTCTAAAGTACTTTCTGTGTTAGTTTTATTCTTACTGTTACTGATATATGAAATTCTGTGTATCCTCCCTGAAGCCTTCACAGATCATCTTATTTCCTATCTGCCTTCCTATACATATATGTGGCACACGGGTCTCTGTCTATTCCACCTGGGAAGATTCGTTTCTAGTGTTACCCACACACCTGCTGCTGCTTGCAACCATCCTTTGAATCCAGGCTATGTCTGTATGTTTGTATCCATCTGTTGTTATGTGTTTTCTTCATTCTGCTCACTCTTTCATAAATCCATCAAAATACACTCCTTAGTCTTTAAATACAAGCACATTTCCTTGCTGTTATGTCTACATCTCTCTATAGCTCTTATACCATTAATCCATTCATCATTTATGTATTGATCCTTATGTCAGTCATCTATTGATTTTTCAGTCCATCTACTCTTCCCACCACCCATTCTTCTCTCCATGTCTGTCCTTCCTTCCAACCACTATCTGAGCATCTTAAACCCTCCATTCATCATTGAGTCTTTCATCCACATATACACTATCCACCTAGCCATCTACCCACCCATTCACCAACCTATCTGCCTTTCTAGTCATAAACTCTTCCTTCATTTATCAATATATGAAATTAACCTTACTAATTTCTAAACAATTCACCAATCTCCACATAAGAAAAATTTACACTAATCTTAACACAAAGTAACTCCTTTTATATATGCACATTAATGTACAATTGTAATCTTATATCTAAAAATGTGTGTGTGTAGAGAATCCCAGTGGAATGTAGAAAATAGAATTAGTGTTTCCATTCAAAGTTACTCTAGATGGCATTCTATCTATAGCTTCCACTTTCCTGGGCATTCAACAACTAATTAATACAGTTCTAGCTCTCTGTCCTTTAAGAAACATTCCTTGATCTCCCCTAATTATAACCAGCCTGATTCCCCTTTCTTTCAACTCAATCTGGACTATTTTGGAGGGTCTTGAAAGAAGAGAATTTAATTTTCCATTGAGTCTAGAAGGTTGAGGGTGTCTTCCTCTAGACTACAGAGAAGAACTTTCAGAATCTTGTCTATCAAAGAGTTGAGCACAGGAAGGGGAGAGGAGGCAGCATCCCGACACTGAGATCTCCACAGGTTTAGCTCTTTCCAATGGAGAACGATGGAAGACTCTCCGGCGCTTTTCCCTGACTGTCCTTCGAAATTTTGGGATGGGAAAGAGGAGCATTGAAGAACGGATCCAGGAGGAGGCTGGCTACCTACTGGAGGAACTCCGGAAGACCAAGGGTATGGAGACCACCAGGGTGACTGGGTGTTTATGGAGAGCTCAGTCATGTGAAGATTGGCTTAGTGGGTGAAAGGTTGGAAAAGGATGAGGATGGCAAAACATTAAGGGTTCATGGAGTTTTCCAGTGAGCTTCCATGTTAAAAATCAACAAGGACGACCATAGGGATCACTTGTCCAGAAACATCCATCAGTATAACTCAGGAAGACTGTAGCTCAGGAAACAACATGTGGGTTTGGTTGTTAAGTGAGTTTGTGTCTTTTTCTGGAAATAGGATCAAATTCTGTTATATTATACCTATTTTAGTGTGATAAAGAAAACAACACAAAACTTGCCTTCTTCATCATTTTAAGAGTATAGTTTTCTAGTGTTAGGTGGATGCACACTGTTGTGGAGCAAATCCTCAGAAAACCTTCATTTTACAAGTTTGAAATTTCTATCCATTTCTCTCTGTTCCCTTCCCCATGGTGTGTGTGTGTGTGTGTGTGTGTGTGTGTGTGTGTGTGTGTTTGAGACATAGTTTCAGTATGCAGTCAGGCTGGCTTTGATCTTGTTTAGTCTCCTATATGATGGGATTACAGACAGGAACCACCATATAGGAACCAACATACTTGGGCTATTTTATCATGTAAGCATACATATATCTATATTTATATATATGTGTGTGTATATATATACATATGTGTGTGTAATTTTTGTAATACTGGAGGTTAAACCCAGGGCTTTGGCCTTGCAGGGAAATTGCTCTCCCAGATAACTCATTACATTTTTAAAACATTTTTATTGAGCTTTTAAAATTTCATAAATATTTCCTACTCACATCCAGAGGCCCTCCTCAGTCCATGCCTCCCTATTCCCCACCAAACCCTATGCACGCTGCCATACATGTTGAGTCCTATTCATTCAGGTGTTTGTACCTAAAAGTCCTTCAGTTAAATGAAGTCAGCCCATCCAATGGTTGTCTCATTACATTTTTAAAGAAGTCTAGTCCCTACCCTAAAATAAGGTATGGAATAAACAGAGTCTAGAAAAGACAAAGCTTGAGGAATAGAGACCTAAAAAGGTAAGAGTTATAAGTAGTCACATTTCTTTAAGCCAGAAGTTTCTTGTCTGTGTTCCGTAGATGACTAAGGGTCTATGTATAGGCTTCAAATAGCTCTGTACCTCCAGAAGTTATCTGCCATGTTATACTTTGTGAATGTGTGTGATTATGAAGAAATTGTCCCCCAAACCATTTACTTGGCCAGCATCTTGTTTACAGATAGTGCATCTGAGGCCTAGATTTTCTTTTTCATATGTATATTTGTGTGTTTGGGTATATGCAAGTTCATATGTGGGGGGATGAACATGGATATCTATACACATATGTGCTGAGGCCACAGGGTGATGAAAGGTGTCTTCCTCAAACACTCTTGACTTTATTAAACACTCTTGAATTTATTAACTCACTCATACACATAGTGAGTTATTCACTTGTTAGTGCTGAACCTGGGACTCATCAGTGTCACAAATCTAGCTAGGCAGCTTGCCATGGAGAACCCCTGAATTCACCTCTCAAATATGGGGTTTAGAGACAGGCAGTTATACTGGCCCAGCTTTTTATTTTACTGTTTGTGAGCCTAACTCCAGTCTTCAAGCTTACATGGCAACTGTTATGTCTACTGAGCCATTTCCCCATCCCCAGGAAGGATTTATATATTTTTAACTGATTTAAGAATTTCATATAGGGGCTGGAGAGATGGCTCAGTGGTTACGAGTACACTGCTCTTCACAAGACCTAGGTTCAATTCCTAGCACCCACATGGTGGCTATAAACCATACTTAACTCCAGTTCCAGGGGAATCTGAAGCCCTCTTCTTACCTCCAAGGCATTGCACAACAAGGGTGTACTCACATATATGCAGGCAATACACTCATACACATAAAATAAAAAAATAAAATATTTTTAAAAGAATTTCATGTAATGTATTTTGATCATGTTCAGACCTTCTCTCCTCTCTCCACACCCCACCTTACTGCCCACACCACCAACATCATGTCCTCTATCTCTATTTGCCTTTTTGAGGACTATAGACTCAAATCTAGGTTTCCTAAATATGCTTGGGTATAGGTCTATTCCTTGAAGTCTGGTCAACTCATCAGGTGTCACACCAGGAAGGAAAACTGACTCTTCCTCTCCCAGCATCTCTCAAAAGCCAGTAGATCCTCACCTCAGGCTGGAGCTTCCTGCCCACCTCCACATCCATGCACAGCCCCTGTTTGACTTGGGTTTTCACAGGTCTTTAACATGCTCTCATACGTGCTGTGGATTCATACATGCAACTACTCTGTGGTGTTCAGACAACACAGTTTCCTTAGATTCATCTACTGCCTGTGGCTCTTTCAGTCCTCCTGCGCCCTCTTCCACAAAGACTCCTGAGCCTTCCGAGGAAAAGGCATGATGTAGGCATCCCATTTAGGGTTGAACGCTCCACCGTCTCGTATTCTCTGCCTGTTGAACAGTTGTGGGTCTCTGTATTCCTCGCTATCTGCCGCAAGAAGAACTTTCTCTGGTGAGAGTTGACAGAAACAAGCTGTGGAAAAATGCAGGTCTGGGCATAGGAAGGATTTCTTAGTAACCAAATGGAATTCTTGGTATACTAGACTAAACTCAGGCGTTCTTTTTCATGTGCCTTCTTCACCATCCCTCCAAATCTGTGACTGTCCACCACACATACATTTAGGTAGTAGTAACAGAGGATAATCATTAAACTCCTCTATCAGTTCTTGAGTGATTAATACAGTTCAGGCCCTGTGTAATCATTTGATACAAATTGTTGTATTGAACTCTCAGGGATCAATTACACCGTTTATCAACCGGTTTGCAGATTGGGAAACCGAGACTCCGATATACAAATGAGCTGAATCACATGTACTATTAAGCAACAGGTCCAGGATACAGTGCCATCACCACTGAGTGATTCCTCCCCTGCTTCACGAACTACTGTGCTCAACATAATCAATTTCCACCCCCAGGAGCTCCCATTGAACCCACCTTCTACCTGAGCCGCACTGTGTCCAATGTCATCAGTTCTGTTGTCTTTGGAAGTCGCTTTGACTATGAGGACAAGCAGTTCCTGAGCCTGCTGAGGATGATCAATGAGAGTTTCATCGAGATGAGCATCCCCTACGCACAGGTACTCACTGGTCATATCCCTGCCTGTCCCTTGATATCAGTTAAGCACTTGCCTATACATAACTTTTCCTCCCTTTAGCTATCATTTTGCCCAAGTTTTCAAGAAGCAAAAAGTCACATCTAATTTCAGACCCAGCAGTAAACTGGGGTTTTTTGAGACAGAGTTTCCTTATAAAAATCAGGTTGGCCATGAACTGAAAGTCCCCATCCTAAATCTCCCTAAGGCTGAGATTACAGGTGTACACTACTTTGCCCAACTCCAGGAATGGATTTTGAGCACAGCTCTCTGACTCTAGTTCTCATCCCACCTTGTATCTGATTTCTATAACTGACCAATCCTACTTGACTGTTTCCCACAGCTGTATGACATGTACTCTGGAGTCCTGCAATATTTTCCAGGAAGGCACAATCGCCTCTATTATCTGATAGAAGATCTTAAAGAGTTCACTGCATCTAGAGTGAAGATCAACAAAGCATCCTTTGACCCCCAAAACCCTAGGGATTTCATTGACTCCTTCCTCATCAAGATGCACCAGGTACTCATCTCTTTAACCCAATACTTTCTTACCTTCTTCATGTGAGTCCCTGCAACTTTAAATGCATCCTGCAAATGAAAAAGAGAAATTATTTCACATGAATTACATATATCTACCGAAAAATATAGAAACTGAAGGAACTACATAAATTATAGAGTTATAACCTATTATAAAATTTTTGGTTAGCTTGTTAGCTTATTTGTTTGTTTGTTTGTTTTGAGACAGGGTCTAGCTATGCAATCCTGCTTGGTCTGGAACTCATTATGTAGACCAGGCTGGCCTTGAACTTACAATGATGTATCTGCCTTATCTTTAGGAGTGCTGGGATTAAAGGGATGCACCACCACATCCAGATAAGCCTCTTATAACTTTAATACAGATTTCTTTAAAATTAATGAAATTCATTTTAAATTTAGCAGGTAATAATTCTGCATATTTACAGACGTTAGTATGACACTCCCTCACATGCATGCAGCATTCATTGGTCAAAACTAACACCCTCATCTCTACTAATCAATACGCTACTTCAGGTAAACCTTTCCTGACTTTCACATATGAAAGAGAATGTGTGGTACTTGCCTCTGTGCCTGGTGTATTTCATGTGGCACAATCTCCATCAGCTATATTCATTTTGCTACAAATAAAGTATTTTCTTTTTGTGGCTAAATAATACTCCACGACGAAGGTATACTATATCTTTCTAAAGTAAATGTTGCATCTACAAATTTTAGTATAAGAAAGCTGATAATCTGACAGTGTTAAAATTATATCTGCGCCGGGCATGGTGGTGCATGCCTGTAGTCCCAGCACTTGGGAGGCAGAGGCAGGAGGATCTCTGTGAGTTCAAGGCCAGCCTGGTCTACATAGTGAGTTGCAGGACAGCTCAGGCTACAGGGAGACCCTGTCTCAAAAAGACCAAAAAAAAAAAGAAAATAAAACTAATTTAAAAAAATTATATCTGCCAGAGATATATTATTGACAGGTAGAATGCACATTTAGAGTTGGATTTTAAGAAACTTGGAAGTTTATCTTTTTTCCCCTTTTGGTTTTTTTAAGATAGGGTCTCCCTGTAGCCCCAGCTGGTCCAGAATTCCCTATGTAGGCCAGGCTGGCCTTGAATTCACAGAGGCCCACCTGCCTCTGCCCCCTGAGTGCTGAGATTAAAGGCATGTACCACCACATCTCACTTTCTTTTTATATAATACACACACACATACACATACACACACATATATGTGTGTATATATATACATATATATGTTTTATTAAAGGGGAGACAGAGTCTTACAGGGTCTGGGACCCTGTTCATATGAACTTACAACAATTGGAAGCTTATCTTTAATTTGAGTGTAAACATTAAAATCACATGTTCAATGTCTTAGAGATGTAAGAATATAGATGTTTAACAACTATGCGTCTTGATTCTTAAATATCAAGAATTCATAAATTTGCGTTTCCTACTATGGAACCTTATAAACTTAGAAAAATACATGCTCTAATCTCCCCAAACATTCAGCCTGTGTAAGACCATCCACCTTCTTCCCCCGTTCTCTGCTCACACACTGCAAACACACCGGCCATCTCTCTGACACACCAGCACACCAGGCACACAGCTGCCTCGGGACCTCTGATCAGCTTGTTTCTTCTCCTCCACTTACTTTACCATCCTTTCTACTATCCCACATGCAGAATGATTCTGTTAACTCGCCCCTTCACTTTCAGGATAAAAGCGATCCCCACTCAGAATTCAACCTCAAGAACTTGGTCCTCACCACCCTCAACCTCTTCTTTGCTGGCACAGAGACCGTGAGCTCTACATTACGTTATGGATTCTTGCTGCTAATGAAGTATCCCGAGGTAGAGGGTAAGTCTCGCCCTGAGCGACACACGGTTCCTCCCATACCTCTTAGGAAGGATGATGTCATCTTGAACATTAAAATCCCATGTCCTCAGACTCGTCAGCCTTTATAACCCCAGAGTATGGAATCTGCACATCTCTGATTGATTCCTGTATTTATTCTCAACAGCTGCTGAAACAGTAATTTACAGCAACACAGGTTTTGACTTTACCCTGATGAACTCCAGATTTCTGCTCAGATAGACATTCACTAGGCTGGCATCAGAGTAGATGGTTGTTCCGTGCCTTTCCAGGTTTCAGACCTGGATCCCTGGGGCTCCTGGGTTCATGACTGCTTCTTGCATCTTCAACACCAACAGCGAATCCCTTTGCTCCTGTCGCCACACCTACTGTTCTCATCCTCTTCCCTCTGTGGTTCCAACACATTACAACTAAGGGCCTTGAGGATACTCCACATAATCTCCCCATTTCACTTATTACTATAGAGAAATCCACGAAGTCCTTTTGTTTTCCTGTTGTTGTTGTTGTTGTTGTATGAATAAATTCACAGGTGTCAGGGATTAGAACATGGATTTTTCCCTTTTCCTTTGACATAGAGTCTCACTACATAGCCCAGGCTGACCCTGCTCTCATGATCAGCCCAGGCTGACCGACTTCTCAAAGTCTTTCTGCTTCAGCCTCCCATGTGGCTGAGAGTGCCTGTGTGCCACCACACACACATGAGGTAGATATGTTTCAGGACTATCATTTAGCTGAAATATGCTATCAATGTCACATAGAATCCATGTCTAGTGAATTATTATTTGACCTGGTTGAGTAACCGCAAGAATCAGGAATTGATTTCTTGATAAAATCAAATCTCTAGGTCGGCCTTTCTCTGCACTAATCTAATTCAAACAAGCCAAACACTTTTCATGATTTAAAAAAATCATGTATGAGAGTTCGGCTTGAACTAGGATGTTGTCCCAGTCATTTCCCTTTTGTACTTTCTTGGTGTGTTCGAGGAAAGACCCAAAGTTCCATACAGCATTCAAGGGTCTAGGCTGTGTGCCTCCCAATGTTTGATGATGTTCAAGGACCCATGATGTCATTGTTGAGTGCAGCAAAGCAGTCAGAAAACTCGATGTCCTCACTTAAGTCTTCCTTTTATCCTGGAGATAAAAATAAAATCTTCATATCACAATCTTTGATTTAACGATGCCTGCAAAGGCCAGAACATGACTTGCCCTGGCCTCTCTAGCAGAGACCCTCCCTTGCCTGGACATGTGCCTCATACCTGTAATCCCAGCACATAAGGTACTAAGCAGGAAGATAGGTTAAGACCAGTCTGCTATGGTTAGTGAGTTCTGGTTCAACGTGGGCTACCTACTGAGATGCCGTCTACAAACAATCAAGCACATTTTCCCCCCAACAAAAACAAAAACTAAGCAATGACAATAAACACTACTGGCATTTCCTGTCTTTTTTTTTCTGGTATGTTCCCTGCCTCGTTGCAGCCAAGATCTATGAAGAGATTAACCAGGTGATTGGACCACACCGGATCCCAAGTGTGGATGACCGGGTCAAAATGCCCTACACAGATGCTGTCATCCATGAGATACAGAGACTGACAGACATCGTGCCCCTGGGTGTACCGCATAACGTCATACGGGACACTCATTTCCGAGGCTACTTTCTGCCCAAGGTGAGGCCACACCCCATGTTGTCCTTTCATCCCCCCCCCTTACACCCCTTTCTCCTCTTAACACATTATCCAACACTGATTTCTTCTGATTACAACCATCTGTTTCTCAGGGCACAGATGTGTATCCCATGATTGGTTCAGTCCTCAAAGACCCCAAATACTTCCGCTACCCAGATTCTTTTTATCCTGAACACTTCCTAGATGAACAGGGACGCTTCAAGAAGAATGAAGCCTTTGTGGTCTTTTCCTCTGGTAGGTAATATGCTTTCTCCAGGTGAGTTCTGCAGCAATGTCTCGACCTCACAATTCTCAAGAGATATGAAGGTCTGTCAAACACTCACGAAATCCTAGAAATCCTAGAATCCCAGAAGACTGAAATATTAGAGTCATTCAGTCTAATGACTAGAAAAAAATGTCAGGGTAGGTGTGGTGGTGCACATTTGCGATCCCAGCACTTTGGAGATAAAGGCAGTGAGCTCGCAAATTGAAGGCCAGCCTGGTTGGTCTGGTGAGATTCTGTCTTTGGAAAATAGGAAAAAGAAAAAAGTGTTAGAGCAACAATACTACTTTAGAAACATGTAGTAAAGCTAATCCTGTTCTGTGAAGGATCAAATGAAAAATATCCCATGTTTTCTCAGTCATGTGATCCGTGTCTGACCCACTCTTCTCTGCCTAGTGTTATGGAAGTTGCCAGTGACAGCACTTGGTGTGTGAATGTTTGAACAACTTTATTCATGAACACTGAAATTTGAATTTCATTTACCTTAACACATAATGCAAAATATTATTTTCCTTTGGATATTCTGAAACATTCTAAAACATGAAAAGCATTTGTATGCTTCAGATCATGCAAACACAAGCACCACAACAGATTTGCCTCATGGTCTTAATGTTATATTTTAAATGGAAGTTATACGAAGGCTGGAGCCAGGGTGGGTTACTGCAGTTCCATCTGTGAACGGAGATTCATCCCTTCCCACCATTGAAAACGATCTTGACAAATAAGACTATTTAAACTAAACTCTCAACTTGTTTCTCTTACTGGTATCTGACACCTTAGGCATTCGAAATTTTTTTGAGGAACAAAATACACAAGGTTTTTATTTTAATTTTTACTGTTCTTGGGATGTAATCCATCCATGTTTAAGAAGTACACTATGATAGGCTACACACTCTACCCCCACTGGTGAATTCTAGTCAAGTGTTCTACTGTTGAGACATACCTCACCCTCGTGAATCCTTTAGAACCATTCCATCTTGGAAACATTGGAGTCCAAGTCAACACAGAGGTGTCTTACTTACCCTCTTTAGCCCTTCTAAGTGGCAGGTCATGGTTAAGCACTGACAGTAGGAACCCGCTGACTCTTGACAACTCTATATCACGGACATAGTCATGAGTTGAGATGACCAGCTGAGGCTCAGTGGGATGACATTGACAGATGCACACTACACCCCCAAGAGTATGGCCTAATGACAGACTCTTATCTCTTCTGTGCCTTCAGGAAAGCGAATCTGTGTAGGGGAGGCGCTGGCCCGTATGGAACTCTTTCTCTATTTCACCTCCATCCTTCAGAACTTCTCGTTACGTTCCCTGGTGCCTCCCGCTGACATTGACATCACTCCCAGGATTTCAGGCTTTGGCAACATTCCTCCAATTTATGAGCTCTGCTTCGTGCCCCGTTGAGCATCCCTTACTAGACCAACAGAGTCATCTGACAGCTGAGCTTTACTAGAGATCAAGTGCACACACTCTCCCCACTGCCCCTAAATTCTCACTATAACTCTAAGAGAACTCATTCTCACTTCGTGATGAGACCACAGGTCAGGGAGAGTTATCTAAGAATTTGCAGCTGGATGTGGAAAGCAGTACCCTGCGCAAGGCTTTGGGGAAAGTCTGAAGGCTTAAGATCACTGATAAACCTCTGTCTTGGTTCCAGTCAGCACTAAAGTCTAAACTCTTGTAGATTCTGTGTGTTTATTCTGCTCCTTTGTCTTTGCACTGACATCAGACAAAATGTACCCCACAGCCCTTTCTTGTTTAACTTCATTTCTCCTATCCAATAAAGTCAACGCTGAATTCAAACGCTGAATGTAACAAGGTTCTCCTGTCACATGGACACATAGGTAAAGTCCAGAACACAAGTGGAAAGGAGTTCAACTTGAATGACTTCCCACTGGTTGGGCCACCCCGTGTGACACCACAGCATCAGGCATCCTCCTGGCTCATTGCTTTCCCTCACCATCACCCCTTTTGCTAAGCTTGCCTTTTTGGTGGCTCTTATCACAACTCCCAGCTCTGCCCGTTCTTTATTCCATTTTGAATGTAGTTTGTAGTTCAGTTGCTCACAGCTTCTGTGACTCCATTTCCAACCTTCTGTCATCTTGCTCGGCTTTGATGGTACCTTGCCCTGGCTGGGCCTGGGTGGGCGATAATTAATTCTTCTATTCCCAAAGATAGCTTGTTGGATTGTCTCCTTAAGATGTCAAACGACTGAGCCTTAGACAGATCTTAAGCACCCCATCCCCCTCATTCAACTCTCTACTCAAATCTGACCTCAATACACCCTAGACAAACAAAAGCACTGGCCTGAACATGGCACAGCTGACCCTGCCGTTCTGCAGGAGCTCAACAACTTCTTCCAAGGAAGTGTCAAACAGTCCGAAGTTCCCTATCTCCACGCCGTCTTTCACCTCCACTCCTGCCCTCCTTCATTCTTCAGCCTCCCTCTATTGGATCTTCCCAAGTCCCGCCCCTCTCCGACCAGACCCGGCCAACCTGACCAGTGAGCCCCATCTCCATCAAACTCCTTCAGGGACCTCTTCCCCTTTCCCAGCCCTCCCTCTGTACCCCCTTCCTCTTTTCTCAGTGTTCTTGACTGCTGCCCTCAACCCCAAAACTCACCACTAACCCTCGCTGTCCACCTCTGTCTCTCTCCTAGATCTTGGCCTCTGCTTCCTGTCACTCCACTTGTCACCCTTACTCCCAACTCAATTCCAAAAATCTGCCATCTTATACCTTCCTTCTCCAAGCCGGCCCCCACTCCCTCCCGTCCCATCACACAATAACACCACCCATCCCGCCCTACCTGTCTTCCCATCTGCTCCCCCCTGTGACGTTGAGGGGTTGGACAGTCCTATCCCAGTTCGGGTTCCTTTGTCCTTGGCGGATATATCTCAAATCGAGGAAAGACAAGAAATACTCTTGGACTTTAAAAAACAATTATAAGACTCACCCATGCTTCTTTAACCTGGTCAGAGATTTGTTATATCTTGAGCTCCACCCTCGAGCCTGATTAGAAGCCTGTATCTGGCAATCAGCTATTCAACATGCTAATGCCCTCCATCAGCAAAGCCCAAAGCTGGACAAGAGGCGGTGCCCTCTTGGGGTCCTGGTTGGAGTTATCAACTAAATTCAGAAAACCTAGGGGCTAGAGAGTTGGCTCATCAGTTATGAGCACTGGCTGTTCTTGCAGAAGACCCCAGTAAGTATCCCAGCACTCACATGGCAGCTAACAACTGTCCTTAACTCCAGTTCCAGGGGATCCAATGCACTATTCTGTCTTCCATGGGCTTCCTCACACAGGCGCACTTATATACATGTGTACAATACATGCACACACATACAATAAAAATAACAAATAAAATATTTATTAAATAAACAGAAAATCTAGATATCTGTAAGAGGGACCTAATGATCTCCTACCTACTGGCTGGCATGGGAAAAAGCATCCATAGTCAGGTTAATTATGACAAAGTTTAAGACATCATCTGGAGCCTTAAGAAAATCCTTCTCTTTTTATGAACCACTTTACAGAGGCAATTACCAAATATACCCATCTACACCCTACTTCTCTCAAGACCTAACTCTTCACATTAAAGTTTATTTCTCAGTCAGTCCCTGATATTCACAAAAATCTCCAAAAACTCAAAACTGACCTTCAAACTCCCCTACAAGAACTTCTCAATATGGCCTTTAAGGTCTTTAACCATAGGGAAGAGGGATCCAGGGTCAGAGAGATGGATCAGTGGTTAAGAGCACTGGCTGCTCTTGCAGAGGACCCTGGTTCAGTTCCCAGCACCACATGGCAGCTAATACCTGTCAGTAACTCCAGTTCCATGGGTATCCGACGCTCTCTTCTGGCCTCCTCAGTCATTGCATGACATAGCTGCACTTACATACTTGCAGCAATATGCTCATACACATAAAATAATAAAAAATAAAAAAATAATAAAAATAATAACAAAATAACAATAGGGAGGAGGAATCCAAGTAGGAAAAGGGAAAACATCTTAAACTTAAATGCCAACTTCTGGTATCCGATCTGCCATGAACCCCCAACATAAGACAGGTCAACCTGCCACATCAGGCTGCCAGCCCTCCCAAAGCCTCCCGGAGTCTGCTTTCCCTCTGGTACTTACTGCAGGGGACTGGGCAAAAGCATACCCTAATGTGAGGCCTCCCTCAAAGTCCTGTCCCACCTGAGGGCAATGGGGACACTGAAAAATGTGCTGTCCCCAGTGGAGATGCCACTCCCCAAGGGGGTTCACTGACTCCTATGTCCCACAAAACCTGATGCCAGTCATGAAATTAGTTCTGAGTTCATCAACCCTGTCATTCTTGGCAAGTTCCACAAACCCAGGATAACTGGGACAGTGTCTAGCAGGCCAATTTCCTACCTGGTCAACACTGGAGCTACTCTTTCAGAGAAAGAAACTCCCAGAGTTTCCAGGAACCCCTCGTCTCTGCCCCTGCCTCCATTATGACTCTTCCATTATACTACACCTTTGGAAAACTGACATTCATTCCTTCATAGTCTTTCCCTCTCCCAACCCTACTCCTGGGAAAGGACCACCAACAAAAGTTCAAACCATCCATTCTTATGCCCCCCACCTTAGACTATGCTACCATTTTCACTTTATGGGATTGTCCATTCCCCAACAACATACCCACTACCAACTCTACCCTTTTGCCATAAGTAAACCCACTAATATACAAACAGTAATCCATTGATCCCTAGTCACAGCACTTTCAAAATTGTGGCCCTAAAAGAACCTCATATTTACATCTCTATTTCATAATACCATTATCCCCCAAAGGCTTACAAGGGGGATAACAAATAATAACATAGCTTTTAGCTTCAGTCACCTCATAATATCCCAATCCTGAAAGTACAAAGTCCAATGACCTTTTCAGGATCATCCAGGATTTAAGAAAAGTCAGTGCCACTCTTGTTCCCATTCACCCTGTTGTTCCTAACCCCAACATTCTGTCTCTCACACCTCCAAATACCACTCAAGAATCATTGGCCTAAATGATGCCTTCTTCACAATTCCCCTTCACCCCCTCTTCCTGCCCTTTTGCCTTGACACTCATCTCTCTTGGCAACTAACCTGTACTATTCCACCTCAGGCCTCTTGGGATACCCCCTATGTTTTTAGTCAAGCCTTACAGTCAGACCAGGCCAACCTTAACTTCTGTCTTAGCACTCTCCATCAGTATGTTGATGATTTACTTCTTCATGGCCCTTCTGCCTCTGGTTGTGTCTGTCAAACTACCCTCCTTCTAAACCCTCTCTCTACCTGGGAATACCAGACCTCAAAAGACAAGGTCTACCAGTATACCGGCTGGAATCTCAGCACACCACCAGAGAGTGCTGAGTTCTGTCCCCCATCAGGCCACATTCTGGCATAAGGTTGACAAAACATAGGACTGCCGGAGAGAGCTGGTATCCTGCCTCCACTTGGTGAAGGAAGCTTGAGTGTACCTGACTGGAACCTGAATGGGGCTTATGTGGGTACCCCTGAATAGCTGATCTGAAGCCATCAGTTCCCTCCAAAATAAACCTGAGAGAACCTGAACCCTGTAAAAACCAGCTTTACACAACCAATAAAGAAAGGCCCTAGGCACTTCAACTTAATTCTCATATCAGAATCATAAACAACAAAAGAAATTCACATTCCAAAACCACACAAAAGAATAATAAAATGGAAAGCCAAAACACTATGTCCCCACCAAACTCCACCAACCCTGTAGAAGTGTTCTACAAGGAGACTATGATCAAGGAATTCAATGAATTTAAAGAACACATCAACAAACAAATCAAAGAGCTAAAAGAAGATAGGGATAAACTTCTGAATTAATTCACAAAAGAGGTAGAAACATTGAAAAAACTCAGGCAGAAGTGAAGAAGGAAGTGCAAAACTCAACAAGCCAACTTGAAACAACAGGGGAAAGCTTCACCGCTAGAATGGATGAAATGAAAAACAGAATATCAATACTGGAGGATAAAGTTGAAGAATTGGGCCACTCAAGCAAAGAGTATGGAAAAATTTTTTAAAACACAGGAATGGAATATTCATGAGATGTGGGACACCATGAAAAGTCCAAATCTATGGATCATAAGAATAATGGAAGGAGAAGAATTTCAGGTTAATGGTATTGATCAGATCTTAAACAGGTTTGTAGAAGAGAATTTCCTGAAATTAAGGAAAGACATTCCCATACAAATACAGGAAGCACATGAAACACCAAATAGGATCAGAAAAGAAACTCCCCATGACATATCATAGTAAAAACACTAAATGTACAGAACAAAGAGAGAATACTGAAAGCAGCAAAAGAAAAACAAGTCACATACAAAGGAAAGCCCATCAGAATTACAGCTGAGTTATCACTGAAACTAT